AGCCTCAAGAAAAACAACTATGATAGATTCAAGTATTTCAAATAAGTTGAATTTCAAGAGCATACAATTATGCAAGAAAACTACTTTCCACTTGTGGAATATGCCATAAAAACCATCCGGTGTCTTGAGAATCAGTAAATAAATGGAGACAATGAAATATTTATTCTTTGGTTATCTCAAGGTATAAAGATAGCTATTGAGAAGAATGTCTCTTTTTAGAAAATATCCCAACAAATAGCCAGGTGCAGTGGCTCATGCTTGTAATCCCAACACTTTGTAAGGCTAACACAAGAGAATTGCTTAAGCCCAGGAGTTCTAGACCAGCCTTGGTCAACACAGCAAGACCTCATTTCTACAAAAAACAAAAATATTAGCCAGACCTGTGGTCCCAGCTACTCAGGAGGCTAAGACTGAAGGATCATCTGAGCCCAGGAGTTCAAGTGCAGTGAGCCATGGTCGTGCCACTGCTCTCTAGCCTGGGCGACAGAGTGGGACTCTGAATCAGAAAGAAAGAAAGAAAGAAAGTGGGAAGGAGGAAAGTAAGATTCCAACAAGTAACTGAAGAATACTTTTAATACTTTTTTTAGTATAATACTTTTTTCTCACCCCTAGGACACTTTTCGTAAGGTGTGGCCCAGGGACACCTTGAGGTCCCTGACACCCTTTCAGAGGGCCCACAGGTCTCAATATTTTTTATAACCACATTAATATTTTTTTTTAACTTTTTCATTCTATTCTTCTCATGGGTTGCACTGTTCTTCATAGGCTACATGATGTCAAATTGGATACCAAAGCAAATATGAAAATGTGGCTGTTTTCCAGTAAGCCAGACTTTAAGGATTTTTTTTTGAGTTGAGTCTTACTCCTTCACCCAGGCTGAAGTGCAGTGGCACACATGCTCGTGGCCTCCTCAGCATCAAACTTCTGGGCTCCAGCAATCCTTCCGCCTCAGCCTTCGGAGTAGCCGCAACTACAGACATGTGCTACCATGCCTGGCTATTTTTTATTTTATTGTAGAGTGATAGTTGCCCTGGCTGGACTCGAAACTGCAAGCTCAGGCAATCCACTCACCTAGGCCTCCCAAAGTGCTGGGATTACAGGCTGAGTCACTGAGACCAGCCTAATTTTTAAAATGAAATACAGAAGCTACAAAGCCATCCTTTTCACTAAATATTTGGAAAACATTTAAAAATAAAGATGTTATTGTGGGGGGCCAGCCCCTGCAGAGAGATTTAGGAGGTCCCTTGGAAGGTGTGGCAGCGTTGGCGATTATTCTGGAGAAATAAAGAGAAAGAAAGAGAAGAGGGGAGAAAGAAAGAAACTGGACTCCTGCTCAGGTGACCATTACCCATTAGGTGTAATCTCAGGGCTTTTATCCGCAAACTCTGTAAAGTTATCATCACGGGAACTCCTGCTGCTATGGTTACACAAAAAGTAGCATGTGCTTTCACATGAACAGGCCCAGGTGCACACAGGACACCCCCCACTCTCAAGCATATGTATTTTTCAAACATAAGGAAAAACATGAAGTTCTTATCCAGTTTCTATGTACCCTTAATTGTTTATAGCTACATAACATCGTTCAATGCTTACACCTAAAACCAACATAATGATATATTGCCTGTTACTATTCTATGCTAATTCAAACTGGTTTCTATAAAACAATTGGTGCTATGGTTACTCTCTCCTAGCACCAGCTGGCCTAATACAAACTTCACTAGTCCCTCTAAATCAAACTGAACTAACCACACTTCTGTAATAAAATGGTTACTTAATTTTTCTTAATCTATATAAACTATTTTCTAAAAACTATATCTATAAATTTCTAAAGGTTGCATCAAGAGAACCTGTGACTGTACTAAGCCTCCTCAATGTGACTCAAAGCCAAACCTAAATTGTGATAAAGCAAAAGACCATAAGCCATGGGGAATGGCAACAATAGACTCCTAGGTTAGCTGTGTACGTTCTGGTCTCAGAGTTTTCTGTTAGAGCAAGCTGGAGCTTTTCTTGGTAGTTTGTGCCAAATGAAAAAGGAAGGAGGAATGGGTCAACAGCTCCCGAACATATCCTAGCGGTCTTGGGGTCTACGGCCCTTCCTGATCCCTAACGCTCAGTGGGCCTCCGTGGCCAGCTCCCAACAAGTCTGTCCTGAAACACTGGGCTTTGCAAAAAGACACTTTGGACTTTGCAATGACATCAACCAGTATATTCCATTTCCCCTAAGGCTGGTTTTCTATTCCCTGCAAACAATGTCTTCACGAGTTCAGTGCTTCTCTTCCCCATCTTTCCCAGGTCTTTCATAATCAGCTTGAGGGGGTTAGGGTTTGATTTGTTTGGGTTTGTTTTTATCTCTTTTGAGATAGAACAGGAAGAACTTGATGTCTAACAGCCTGTGTCTGATGAAAACATGAGGGCTCATTATGACCCTGAGGCTTTCTCTTTTGAGATAGAACAGGCAGAACTTGATGTCTAACAGCCTGTGTCTGATGAAGACATGAGGGCTCATTATGACCCTGAGGCTTTTGTTCTGAGTTACTGAGAGCAGGTGAATGCTATGCTATTTATTAAGACACCATGGTCAGAATGAAGAGCACAGTTTATGAATACCCAAAGTGAAAGATGAATTAGAGGAATATCCAGAGGATTTTTTTTTTTTAAGACAGGGATTCACCTGTCACCTCAGACTTAGGGTGTATGGTTTTTGTGAGTAACTCTTAGACATTGCCAACACAGAAAAGTAAACTTTACAATGCATGAGATCAAATGTTTTGTGGGCACCTTAAAGCTAGATCTCACCTTCAGGACAGCTGTCAAGGAAAATTCTTGAAGAGTGAAACCTACTGGACTCAGGAATTCTTCTTCCTCATTGGAGTCTATGTTCTACCAGTTTATAGGTGGATTCAGCAGTGGTTCCTATTCCCATCTCGTTTACCCCCAAATTAAATATAGAAAACAAGACTGGTTATCTGACCTCTCATAAAAATAGTTGTTGACATATGAAGATTTGCAGGGGACAATATTTCCAAAGGATATTTATCCAGACTGCAGATGGTTGAGAAGAGAGTGAAGAATGTAAATATGACTGAATACCTCCAGCCTCCCCCAGTGGAGATGTCTAGCCCAGCACATTGATGAAGTCAGGAGTCATGAAATGTGTAACACAAATTACCTCATATAGTTATTACAGCTCTACAAGGTGAGCATGATTTCTTCATGCTACAAATGGTGAAGTCTTGTCACTCAGTGGAGGATGTTAGTATTCCCAAGCCCATACAACTGGTAATGGTGGATCTGGGAATTGAGCACAGGTCTGCAAATCCAACAATTATCTTTTTTTTTTTTTGAGTTAGAGTCTCACTCTGTCGCCCAGACTGGAGTGCAGTGGCTGCTCCCGGCCACTGCAGCCTCGACCTGCTGGGCTCCGGCGATCCTTCCGCCTCAGCCTTCCGAGTAGCCAGAATTACAGGCGTGTGCTACCACGCCCAGCTGATTTTTTGATTTATTGTAGAGATGAGGTCTCGCTGCCCAGGCGGGTCTCGAACCCGTGGTCTCAGGCAATCCACTCACCTCAACCTCCCAAAGGCGCGGGATTACGGGCTGAGCCACCGAGCCGGGCTCCAACAATTATCTTAATGCCTTTGCAGTCTTATATATATTTCCCAGCAAGGACAACATCCCAGATGGATAAAATACAGGATCGTGTGTTTCCTCTAACAGGTTGTTACCAATGACTACCCCAAGGCTGCATCAGTTTCAAAGTTGCCAAGTACAAAGGCAGGGATTCCACAACTTGGATGACACACCTTTATTATCAGTGTGGACTTAAAGGAGTCCAAGAAAGGGAAGGGACGATTATTTCCTGCTTGTCTCTAATGAGGTTCCAGGGAACATGGCTCTAGTGGCCATGGAGGCTCCTGCATAGAGCTTGCATTGTAATTCTTTAAACACTCCTCCTGCTTCAAGGGCTGAATTTGTGCGTCCCAGATCTTCATTTGTGCAGACTTGTCCTGAAAACCCAGTGGCGAGTCCCTCTCCCTCAGACCAGGAATCTCTGACCATGTCTGAAAAAGTGAAGAACGGACTGCCATTCTTTCTGGCAAGAATCGGATCAGTGGGACTTCACCCGAAACTGCTTGTTGGAGGGATGTCTCGGAGAGACACTTCTCCCCTTCCTTTAAGTGGAGCTAGAGAAACCATCTGGAGCTCAGCTGCAGTTCCTTGCAGTCAACCAGCCATGGCCAGTGTCTGTCCTATCTATGTAAGAGAGCCTGAACCATGGGGAACGCAAATGGACTGAGTTTTTGCCCAGACCTCTAGGTCATTTCCATTTTAATTTTAGTATCTGAACTCAGGGAACTCAGTGGACATAGCCTAGGAGCCTGGCTCAGACCTTTGTAAGGTGCTCTGTGAACATGAGCCCAGACTGTAGCAGCCACAGCAATACTATTATCATTCACACACTGGGAGCAAAATCCTAATGCCTTACCTAGGCCTCATCTTAACCATCATTTCCCGAGCTTTTGCATTCTTCCTCCTCTGTCTGCCTCTGAGCCCAGGATCCCAGGCCCATGAGAGGGACAAACAAATCGAGTGTCTGAGTTCCTCCTCCTGGGACTGTCCAGGCAGCCCCAGCATCAGTGGCTCCTCTTCATGATATTCCTGAGCATATACCTGGCCACCATCCTGGGAAACCTGCTCATCATCCTGGCCATCAGCACAGATGTCCATCTGCATACCTCCATGTACTTCTTCCTCAGCAACCTGTCCTTTGTGGACATCTGCTTCTCCTCCACCACCATCCCCAGGATGCTGGCCAATCATGTACTTGGGAGTCACACCATCTCCTTCCCTGGGTGTCTCACGCAAAAACATTTTGTTTTCATGTTTATGGATATGGACAATTTCCTCCTAGCTGTGATGGTATATGACTGCTTTGTTGCTGTGTGCCACTCCTTACATTAAACAGCAAAGATGACCCATCAGCTCTGTGTCCTGCTAGTGGCTGGATTGTGGCTGGTTGCCGACCTGAATGTCCTGCTGCACATCCTGCTGAAGACTCGACTCTCATTCTGTGCAGACAATGCCATTCCCCACTTCTGTGATGTGACTCCCCTCCTGAAGCTCTCCTGCTTGGACATGCACCTCAATGAGATGACGATTCTCACTGAGGGTGCCCTGATCATGATCACCTCATTTCTCTGCATCCTGGTTTCCTATATGTGTATCACCTGTGCTGTCCTGAGGATCCCATCCCCAAGGGGAAGATGGAGAGCATTTTCCAACTGTGGCTCCCACCTGGCCATGGTTTTCCTCGTCTATGGCTCCATCCCATCTCTGTATTTCAACCCTGCATCTTCCCACTCAGCCAAGAAAGACACTGCAGCTATGGTGTCATACACAGCGGTAACTCCCATGCTAAACCCTTTCATCTACAACCGGAGGAACAGGGACTTGAAAGGGACTCTGAGAAAAGTGATTGGCAGAATTATGTTTCTGTCTGATGAGAGAATCAAGAATAAATCTCACTCCCAGGCTAATTTGTTTTTTTCCAATTGAGTATAATGCAGCAGTTGTTTAATCAAAGGTAGTCTGGAGACAAACATAGTGATGTCTTTGCTAGGGGCACACAGAAAACGATCTTATTACTTACAATAAGTTAAACTATTAATTAGTGATTAAGTTATTTATTAATGGACTCTGATTCACCCCAACCCTGTTGCTCTGTTATGTAATGAGCTACTACTGCTTCTGTCCTCTTCCCCATCCTCCTTCCCCTTTAAAATCAGGAAGCCTTCAGAATCACGGGAGATTCAAAGAGACTCCTGAGACTTCTTTTTAGTGACTAACTTTCTCTTTTTTTTTGAGCTGGAGTCTCGCTCCATCGCCCAGGCTGGAGTGCAGTGGCACGCTTATGGCCATCCCAGTGTCAACCTGCTGGGCTCTGGCGATCCTTACGCCTCAACCTTCCAAGTAACTGTAATTACAGGTGCGTGCTACCACATCTGACTAATTTTTAAAAATTTATTGTAGAGATGAGGTCCCGCCAAGTTGTCCAGGCTGATCTTGGACTCGCGGGCTCAGGCAATTCATTCACCTAGCCCTCCCAAAGTGCTGGGATTATAGGTTGAGCCATTGAGCCCAGCTGTGACTAACTTTTTAATTATTTTACACCCAAGTCATTTTTTGGTTTTTTAAGTGACCTGTCTGGAGGACACATGTATTTGCATATTGGAGGCACCTCTGGAGCTTTTACAATACACTGATGCCCACACCCCAATACTGAGCAAATAAATCAGAATCCCTGGAGGTGGGTCTCTAATGCTAAGATTTTTGGAAAACAAAAACAAAAACCTACAGGTGATTCTCGTGTGCAGCCAGAGTGAAGACTCATGGGTCTCATCACCCTCCTTTATATGTCATATGTAATGGTCAGTCATAAAGGCTGGGTCACAAAAATTAGTTTTGAGACCCAGCACAGTGGCTGACACCTGTACTTCTACTGCTTTGGGAGGCCAAAGAAGGGAGATTGCTTGAGGTTAGAGTTTGAAACCAGCCCAGGAAACATGGCGAAACCCTGTCTCTACAAAAAACAATAATAAAAAAAATTAGCTGAGTGTGGTGGTGCATGCCTATAGTCCCACCTATTTAGGAGGCTGAGGTAGAAAGATGTCTTGAACCCAGGAGCTCAAGGCTGCAGTGAATCACAATCATGCCACTGCACCTCAGCCTGAGCGACAGTGCAAGACTCTGTCTCAAAAAAACAAAAACAACAAAAAACAAAACTATGTATTAGTTTTGAGACTCAGACAAAAGAACAACAGAGTGAAACAGGAGGACTACAGTGACTAATAGAATTTCAGATGAGGTTCAGAGGTCCTAGCCAGTACAAGGCTCAAGCCATCAAGAGGCAAAGTCACACAGAAACTTGGACACCTCAGGAGCATCCCGATTGGCTGCCTGGCGGGTTCAGGCAGGGGTCATGTCTTTGACATCTGGGAAACAATCAACATTTGCTATTCCCTGTTTAGACCAGCTGCTCCTGCTTTTTTTCTCAAGTCAACCCTCACCCACATGTTCAAGAACCAAGTCAGACCGGTGAGGTGCCTGGGCAGTGATTTGAGTAAGACTCCAACTCCAAAAGAAAAAAAGGGTTGGCAGATAATTTTGTGTTCTGATTCCATGCTTCCTTTTTGCCCATGTCAGTAGAGATCTTACAAATATGATTTTTTTTTTGGAGTCGGAGTTTCACTGTCACCCAGATTGGAGTGCAGTGGCACCCTCATGGCTCCCACAGCCTCGACCTGCTGGGCTCAGGCGATCCTTCTGCCTCAGCTTTTCAAGTAGCTGGAACTATAGGCACACGCCACCATGCCTGGCTAAATTTTTGATTTATTGTAGAGACGAGGTCTCACCAAGTTGCCCAGGCAGTCTCAAACCTCTGGGTTCAGGCAATCCTCTCACCTCAGTCTCCCAAAGTGCTGGGATTACAGGCATGAGCCACCACTTCAGGCCCAGAAATATGATTTTAGTGGCTGCATAATAGTTCATCACAAGGATAGGATGTAATTTACCTACTTCCTAACTCTGAACAAGTTCAAGTGTTTCTGTCCTATAACTAATGTTGCTGTATAATTCCTCGTGTGTATATCTTTGTGTCCTCTATTGTCACAGGTAGCCTGAGTGACCTACTTCTCCAGCTTGGAGTAAAAAATTAATGTCACCCTTCCTTTATTTGTCCATTATTTCTGCCCAAACCCACCTGCCATTACTAGCAGGTTATCGAGTATCTCCATGTTGGTGTCAAGGTACCCCAGAAACTCACTCAAAGGAGCCAGTCTCATGTTTTCTGCCTCTGTCCATGAAATTGGCAGGCTAGCTTGTTAACTTGTAAGTAGGGTAAAATCTCAGACTCTTCACAGTTCTTGGCAATGCTTGTTGAAGTAGTTTTTTGGAAAATGCAGAACAAAAAAATGTCTAAAAACCCCATTTTCAGCAAGATCCTAAGAATGCTCCTAAATATGGGACATAGAAGACAAAAATATCATAGAAAGCATCAACAAAACAGAAAGTTGGTTCTTTGAAAGAATTAACAAGATTGATGGATGCCTAGCCAGAATGACCAAGAAAAAGAGAGAAAGAGCCCAAATAAACACAATCAGAAATACAAAAGATCAAATCACAACTGACCCTGAAGAAATACAAAAGAATATCAGAGATTACCATGTACACCTATGTGGAAACAAACTTGATAACCTGAATGAAATGGAGAACTTTCTGACATCACATAACTTCCCCAAGTTGTAGCAAGAAGACACTGAGACACTAAATAGACCAATAACAACCCAGGAAATTGACTCTGTCATACAGAAACTACCTACAAAAAAAAGCCCTGTACCAGATGGCTTTCCAGCAGAACTACTAAAAAATCTACAAGGAGGAGATGATATTAATCCTCTTGAAAGTATTCCAGGCAATTGAGAAAAATGGAATTCTCCTCAAATCATTTTACAAAACTAACATCACACTGATACCCAAACTGGGTAAAAGATCCAACAAAAAAAGAGTACAGACCAATATTTCTTATGAACATAGATGCAAAAATCCTCAATAAGATTCTAGCAAATCAGATCCAAAAAAACACATCTCAAAAATCATCCACCATGACCAGTAGACTTCATCCCCAGGACGCAGGGCTGGTTCAACATTCGCAAGACCATAAATGTCATTAAATACATCAACAGATGTAAAAACAAGAAACACGTGATTATATCATTAGATGCAGAAAAAGTTTTTGATAAAATCCAGCATCCCTTCTTGATAAAAACCCTCAAACACCTAGATATAGAAGGGACATACCTCAAAATAATAAGTACCATCTACGATAAACCCATGGCTAACATATTGCTAAATGGACAGAAACTAGAAATGTTTCCCTAAAAACTGGAACAAGACAAGGCTGCCCACTCTCACCCCTCTTGTTCAACATTGTGTTGGAATTCCTAGCTTGGGCAATTAGACAAGAGAAGGAAATTCAGGACATCCAAATAGGAAAAAAGGAAGTCAAGTTATCCCTCTTTGCTGGTGATATGATCCTATACCTTGAAAATCCAAGAGAATCTGTCAAAAACCTGCTTGCGCTGATAAAGGACTTTGGCAAAGTCTCAGGGTACAAAATAAATGTGCAAAAGACAGTTGCTTTCCTATACACCACCAACAAGCAGGCAGAGACCCAAATTAAAAGTAGAATCCCATTCACAATAGCCACACAAAAAAAGAAGTACCTCAGCATCTTCCTAACCAGAGAAGTGAAAGACCTCTATAATGAGAACTACAAAACATTGCTCAAAGAAATCTGAGAAGACACAAACAAATGGAAAAATATTCCATGCTCATGGATAGGAAGAATCAACACTGTTAAAATGTCCATCCTGCCAAAGGCAATCTACAGATTCAATGCAATACCCATTAAGTTACCAATGTAATTCTTCTCAGACCTGGAAATGACAATACAGAAACTCATATAGAAACATAAACAACCACAAATAACCACAATCCTTAGCAAAAGAAACAAAGCAGGAGGTATTACACTTCCAGACTTCAAATTTTACTATAAGGCTACAGTAATCAAAACAGCCTGGTACTGGTACAAGAACAGGCAAATAGATCAATGGAACAGGATAGAGATTCCAGAAGCAAAGCCTCAATTCCTCAACCAATTCATCCTGACAAAGCCTCCAACACAACCACTGGGGAGAGGAGAACCTATTCAATAAGTGGTGCTGGGAAAACTGGCTAATTACATGAAGAAGATTGAAACAGGACCCCTACATATCACCATACACAAAAATTAACTCTAAATGGATCAAAGACCTAAACACAAAACCTTAAGTTATAAGAATCTTAGAGCTGGGCTCGATGATTCAGCCTGTAATCCCGCGCCTTGGGAGGCTGCGGAGTGGATTGCCTGAGACCCCGGGTTCGAGACCTGCCTGGGCAACTTGGTGAGACCTCATCTCTACAATAAATAATAAAAAAAAATTAGCCGAGTGTGGTAGCACGCGCCTGTAGTTCCAGCTACTTGGAAGGCTGAGGTGGAAGGATTGCCGGAGCCCAGCAGGCCGAGGCTGTGGTGGCCGGGAGCGGCTACTGCACTCCAGTCTGGGTGACTGAGTGAGACTCCAACTCAAAAAAAAAAGAATCTTAGAAAACACAGGAGACATCCTTATGGAAATTGGAACTGGCAACCAATTCCTATTCAGAGCCCTAAATGCCCATGAGATAGACAAGTGGAGCCTCATCAAACTAACAAACTTCTGCAAAGCAAAAGAAACCATCAAGAGAGCAGGGAGACAGCCCACAGAATGGGAAAAAATGTTTGCGAACTGTATATCTGACAAAGGTCTATCGCCTAGAATCTACAAGGAACTAGAAAAAAGTGGGCAAAAGACAGGAATAGACACTTCTCAAAAGAAGATATATGGGCAGCCAACAGACACATGAAAAAGTGCTCAGCCTCACTCATCATCAGAGAAATGCAAATCAAAACCACATTGAGA